ATTTTCAGCTACACAAAACTTGGTGTAATTTGGTTTCTAGAAATTTGTGCCAAACCTTTTCCCCCGGGCTTTGTTTCATGTGTAGCATTTCTCATTAAAGTTTATCTGATAGATTAGGGTTCAAGAGAATCCTCAAAAAGTGAAAAGGCAAGTCAGCTGAAACAACTCAGTTTCAGTTGACTTCTACTGAATCAATGGCACGTTTGCTATCCTCAGCAAACCCCGCCAGAGATGCAGAAATGTCCTAAAGGTTTCATATAACTGATGGTAAAATAATAGTTCACAAACAGAGCTGCGTTGACTTCATTTGGCTTTGGGTTAGGTCCAACAAAAATTTCTTATGCTTAAACTCATTCATAACAATTCTGCAGTAATGTCATATGGAAGTTTATTTTTGCTTCAATGTTTCCTTTGTATATTCCCACTAATAAAAACCTGTTAACCTAAAATTATGGTGGTTCAGGTGTTTTGCTATACAGAAATACAAACATTAAACATTAAATAAATAATAAATTAAGTCAACATTCACGTCTGACACAATACCATTCTACAAGCAGTAGCCTACTACCAACACAACACTCAACCACATGAATACCCTTTCCCCTACATTCCCTGTCATGGTTATAGGACTGATTGCATCCATTTCCTTTCTGTTCTTTCTGTGTGCCCCCCTCTGGTGTTAGGCCTTGTGCCCTCCTTCCCAGTCTTGGAGTGGAACTACGCCATTCTCCTACTCTTAGACTGGGATCAGAGTCCAATATCCCATCTTTGCCAACCACTTATTATTGTGCAGATCTTACTCGATACCTGTTTTCTTCATTTTGGAACAGGTGACCAGTGAGAAACATTGATGAACAGCCTTCTTAAAACAAGTAGGTTTATCAGCAAATAGACCCATGCATAAGAGAAAATTATTTTAAAACAACAAACATCATATATGCATATTAGACTAATCTAATCCTATGCTTTGCTACAAGATAAGTTATTTGTCTTCCATGTTGAGTTACAGGAACAGAACATATCCAATTTACATAATTGAAGCAAGCCCAGAAGCTCTTGAGATCCAGAGAATGTTTCCCCCTCTTAGAAGAAACTCCCTTTTCTCAAAGCCCCATCTCCCTCTGTATGCATGACCCCCATTTACTTAATAAGTTAATGGCTTTTGTTTCTAGGGTGTAGGTAAGAAGTCTTCCTTTTGCCTCAAACTGTTTCTTTTGCGGTCAGGCAGCCAGGCCATTCAAGTAAAAAGGTCCATCTGGTTGCTCCATTGTTTGGCAGTTAGCTCTATTGAGCCTTCATGACTTGTAATCACAGGCCTTGTGACTGTAGGAGAGTGTGCTGCAGTTGTCTGTTTCGCCAGTGTTCCAACCTTCCTTCACAGAAATCCCATACCTCAGACACCTTTAGGGTACAGAACAGTAATCATTATGAAACTCCATGACATTCATCACCTTCCCACTTTCATACCACAACGTTCAGGGCACATGCTAAAATCACATACACAAATCTAATTACAGCCTTCTAGCACTATATTTTTAATTTAATGATTTAAAAATTCCAGTCTTACCATCTCCACATACCATCCACAAGACAGAGTGGGTAAGTTCCATAGAAATCAGTGGACTATTCTGATTTATTGAAATACTAGACTGGTTTTAAGTTTGAGCATTGCAGTGTGTTTTCGGTTCTGTTTTTTTGATGTGAACAAAAAAACCCTAGCACCTTAGACTCATCATGTAAGCTACTTGCAAACTAGTCCATTCTGGGCATTTGGAAATATTTCTGCCTCTCTACTTGCACTTATAGAGACATAGCATAGAAACTGTCATTTCATGTCATTTCATGTTGTATCAAAATCTTTTCTATGTCTTTAGATTTATTGTGAGTAGGTTACAACTTGGCATTTTAGCCTAAGGACAAAAGCAGGCTGTGTGCACCTAAAATGATCAAACATTTTAAAGAATTGAATGTTAGAATCTTAATAAGATACGAAAATAATACTATAATGATAGATATTAAAAGGCTTATTTTCAAATGTTTATAATTTAGCAAGAAATCTCAAATGCCTTTATCATGGATTTATATAAAAATGCAAAATGAAAGTTTCTTTTAAGAACATAGGAATGTCGGGTGCCTTAAAAAAATCTAAAATCAAATTATGTGGTTTTAAAGGACTTTTTATCTAGCAGACAAATGTATAACAAGATCGAGTAGCTTCAAACTGGAAGTAAGATGCAAATATTTAACAGTTGTCATCATTATTATCTCCTTTGTCGAAGGCCAAGGTTGGGTAGGGCTGATTTCTGTAGGTTTCTTGGCTTAGGCAAATGCATGGACTGCCAGCCACCTCAAGTGTAAAATTTTCAATAGTGAGGGCAGTTAATCTTTGTAACTGTTAATCAAATGGAGTAAATTCTCCATTACCTGGATTCTTTTAATTAAGTAATGCACACTAGCTGCTAACTATGTAGAACAGGGGTAGGCAACCTATGGCACGTGTGCCGAAGGCGGCACGTGAGCTGATTTTCAGTGGCACTCACACTGCCCGGGTCCTGGCCACCGGTCCGGGGGGCTCTGCATTTTAATTTAATTTTAAATGAAGCTTCTTAAACATTTTAAAAACCTTATTTACTTTACATACAACAATAGTGTAGTTATATATTATAGACTTATAGAAAGAGACCTTCTAAAAACGTTACAATGTATTACTGGCACGCGAAACCTTACATTAGAGTGAATAAATGAAGACTCGGCACACCACTTCCAAAAGGTTGCCGACCCCTGATGTAGAACTATTAGGCAATAATTTAACCAAAAGAGAAAGAAAGGGTGGGGGGAAAAGAGTGAAAACAGATTATCTGTATTAGACTAATGTATGATACTAATTGAATGCCCCAGAAATGCTGCATAATAGAGGCGAAAATTGCAGTGCTTTTATTTTGTAGGGTCTTGTTTTTGATTTCTTTATGCTACAATTTGTTTTTCTCTTATGGATCTCCACAAAAAATGAAATCTTTCCATGGATATTGTATATATGTTGTGGAAGCAGAAATGTCTACACTGCAGTGTAAGTCCAGGCTTGGAACTCATAGTCAAGCCTAATCTCCCCCCCTTCTGTCTCTATACACATTGTGTTAACCCAGGGCTCAGACCCAGAGCCCCAGCACCCTACGGGGATGGAGGGCCCAAGCCTAAGTCAAGCTGACACCCAGGGTTCAAACGCTTTTCCTTTGCAGTGTGGAGGCAGGCCCACTGGACTTGTCCTCTGGGAGTCTGCCAAAAGTATCCCCCAATCCGATGGGCCAACTTATTTTCTCTTCTAGAAAGTCAAGTTTGGTGGATAGTCAAGTTTTCCCACATTACTCTGTGAACAAAAGGTTAGAGTGGTCACATTTTTGGAGGGCGCTAACAAGTCTGGGATATGGGTGATTGGACTCAGGCTCTCTTAATGCAGTGTAGATGCTGGAGCCCCAGGTTGGGACCCAGGGTTCATCCGTCCTACCTGGGGTTACAAATGAATGTAGACACTCAAGCCATAGGTTAGCAAATACAAGGTCTGCTAACTCAAGCTCTACTAACCCTGGGCTTACATTGCAGTGTAGACATACTATGTATTACTACTGTTACATTTTATTTCTTTCTCTTTTTCTGCTTCTATTTTCTTTTTTCTATTTCTATTTTCTATTTTCTTTTTTTTCTTCTATTTTCTGATGCACTCTTTCTATCAGATAGCCTTTCTATCAGTCACTGAATTGAAATATCAGTCTCTCTAACAGTACAGTAACTCCTCACTTAACATTGTAGTTATGTTCCTGAAAAATGCGACTTTAAGCGAAACGATGTTAAGTGAATCCAATTTCCCCATAAGAATTAATGTAAATGAGGGGGTTAGGTTCAGGGAAATTTTTTTCACCAGACAAGACTACACACACACACACGGTATAAGTTTTAAACAAACAATTTAATTCTGGTACACAGTGATGATGATTGTGAAGCTTGGTTGAGGTGGAGGAGTCAGAGGGTGGGATATTTCCCTTACTGCTAAATGATGAACTAGCAATTGGCTGAGCCCTCAAGTGTTAACTCTCTCACTCTACATGGCAGCAGGAATGGAGGGAGATATGCGCATTTCCCCTTTAAGTACCGCAGCTGCTGCAAGCTCCCTCCGTCCTGAGCCCGGGTATATCCCCCCTGCTCTATGGAAGATGGGGTAAGCGGGGTGCAGGAGCACGGGGGAGGGGGACACCCTGACATTAGCCCCCCTCTTCCTTCCCTCTCCCCTCTCCTCCCCCCCCCCCCGCACAGCAAGCAGGAGTCTCGGGGAGCAGCTCCAAGGCAGAGGGCAGGAGCAGCAGCACATGGCAGTGTGGGGAGGGGCAGCTGCAATTGCTAGCCTTCTGGGCAGCTGCTGCACAGGGAACTTAGGGGAGCGGGGAGCTGATGCGGGGGCTGCTGGTCCATGCTGGTTCCAAGCCCCCACCAGCTAGCTGCAACGGGCTGCTCTTCCTGCAAGCAGTAGACAAAGCAGGCGGCTGCCAAAGACATTAGAAGGGAGCATTACACAACTTTAAACGAGCATGTTCCCTAATTGATCAGCAACGTAACAACGAAACAACATTAACCAGGATGACTTTAAGTGAGGAGTTGCTGTATTTTCCTTTGTTCATGATAATGTTGGATGATAGATGACGGGGGGCCGGGGGCCAGAAATCACGATGTTAACAGAAAATAAGAACCTAGATAGTGGGTCTAATCACCAAGGTAAAACTTGCAGTGTTTTTTATAAAGAGTTTACTTCAGAGGTTCCTGGAATAGTTTATACTGTAGTTAGCCAAAATAGGTCTTTTGAAGTGGATTGTTCTTTTTTTTAATACCAATTAAATCCACAATATTTAAAAAAAAAAGAACTAGAATGAAAGTGAATTATTCAAATGCATTGAAATTTGCTTTATAGTACACATATATGAACGTATTCTCTTTTATCCATTTTTTTCTTGCAGGCACTATCCTAGTGGACAGTATGCTGATAAAAGGGACAGCAGGAGGGACTGATCCCACTATTGAACTATCATTGAAGGACAACATTGATTACTGGGTGATTCTGGATCCCATCAGCCAGAGGCTGTACCTAAACAGTACTGGACGACTTCTGGACAGAGATGTTAGTTTATTTCCCAGACTTTTTTTTCCCTCCTAAATCTTGGACCAGGGAAGCAAGCATTTAATAGTTAGAAATGGAAAGTTTTCTAAGGGTGACTAGAAAAAAATAAGTAAAGTAGTAATAGGATCCAGGAAACAGAAACATTCTGACTCGCTGTTTTATAGACATACCAGGGGTTATCCTTTATGTTGTTGGACAGAAGACATCTCTGCATCTATTTTAAATTAATGGTATTTCAGGACATAATCAATACATTCAACAGCATGGGAAGGTCACATTTACAAGTTGTACCTACGTGGTAATATACATTCAGTAACAAGCTAATAGTGCCATGTATTTGTTGCATACTCCCTTTTTAATGTTCAAGATTTATTATAAACATAATAATTTCAAGGAGATGAAAAATGCATCTAGTTCTCTTTCTAGACTATATAGAAAGGATACATGGGCAAGTTAACTTGGTTCCTGATGTTAACTTGTCACCTGCTACAGATGTCTGTCAAGGTACATGCATAAAAATTTGTACAACAAACAAGTTGAGACTGCAGTCAAATAGAGGTATATGAGCTGGCGAAAATAAAGTAATAACTGACCTAAACCCAACTTTAAAAAAAGATTCAGGTAGATTTTTTTTCTCTCCCCTCCACATTTTTATTTTTGTTTTCACATAACTTTGTTTTCTGATTCTGGATGGAAGCAGAAGTGTTGAAATACCTTCCTCATGAGAGTCCTCTCCTGGGGCACTTCTAGTCCTGCCAGAAGCAAGGAGTAACAAAAATATTGTGAGAATCTAGACTTGTGAGACTTAGAGCCCAATTATGTAGATGTAAGAGGACCTCAGAAGATTCAAATAAGCATCTGAGATGTTGTGTTCTTACTCAGAACACCAGTTTATACCTTGTGTTGTTCCCCTGTGTTTAGTCCTCACACATCTTAAAGGAGCATTGTCATATCAAATTTGGGTTGTGTAAAAACAAACCTTTGCAAAATCTAGGGCCAACAGGAATGTTTTCATTGATGTTTAATTCATTCAATAAAAATACCCCTGAAAACAAATCAGTATCCCCCCTACATGTTTGCTCACCAGTCATTGTAGCAGTGTGTTAATACAAAGTGAATGTAAAATCAACTCAAAACTGACTATAGACAGAAGTGAAAGGGCCTGATCTGAAACCTGTTAAAATCAACTGGAATCTTTCTGTTGGTTGCAGTGGGCATGGATTAGGTCCCAAATGACTAGTTTATTTTCATTGTGTATAGTGAAATAAGTGCATTAAGTAAACAAAGAGTAATAATGAAATGTAATTAGCTTTATTTAAATTATCCCTGATTTAATTTACATATATAAATTTGCCTAATTTACTTCATTTTTTCTTATTTTGTAACTTTTTTCATTTGCAAAGTGTACCCATCACATTCTCTAAGCATCTATACATAATTAGCAAAGTCATGTAAAGAAACACACAGCAGAATGGGCACAGAGAACTCTACCAACTTCCCAACAAAGAAACTCAAGCGCCTCTTAGATAATCTCTTTGGACAAAGACATATGTAGATAGGCCTTGGAGCATCCCCTGTGCTTCATATAAGCTCAGTTTTTGGACAGAATATAAGGAGACAGACTGTAATAGAACCTGACATCCTAGGACCCAGCATAGACATGCAGAACTATTCTTCCTAACTCATCGCACTAAGTGAGTTCTATTAGCTCTAACTAGGGCCAGGGAGAAACTGTAGGAAGAAGACAAACTCAGAGCACACTTAAGTTTTATTTTTTGTTTCTGTTTAAGTGAACAATACCTACCTACCCCAGAAAGTGGGTGAATTTGGACACTAAGGACAGCACACAAACATTAAATTAAAGGAGGGTAGAGTATCTTAAATAGCCATGATCTAAACAACATAGGCTTTTACAGTTTTTATCAAAACCAACCCCTATTATTTTCCTTCACTGTGTCCCTTTAAGAACACTTTGTCCAATACAGACTTATTTATTTGAACTTTGTCATCTGGTGCAATGACTTGATTTTATAAAAAAACAGATTTATTTTTAAAATCTAATTGTTTTTAGTCTCTTCTCTCTTCCTTTGGGTTATTTTAAAATTTCACATTCAGCAAAAAAGTACTGTTTTGAGCCAGATCCTCTGCTTAATTGAAATCAAAGTCACTGTGCCAATTTACACCAGCTGAAGATCTCTGTTCATGTGGATATTGAAAACTGAGAAAGAGGTCTTGATTCAACCTTTTTACTTAGCATAGCTCTGTCAGTGCTATATTGAGATTTAGACTGTTTTTTTTTTATTTATAACCATAGCGCTTCCAGATTGTGCTAAAGTAACTGTGTTTACAGAATTATAAAAGTTGTGTTCTGAAAAGCACTGCTTCACTGTCAGGGATATACTGTAACTGAAGTGGAGGTGACTATATTTAGACCTAGCCTAGACTGATAAACATGCCTTTCAAAATGTAATGTGAATACCTGTACCTTCCATATGTCATACACTATCTAGTCAGAGAACTTGCTGACCTGATTGCTGTTCTATATGGTTAACTGTGACTTGATTGCAGCTGAAAGTGGTTTATAGTGCTATGAATTTATGTTAATTCTCCACCATGGCAACATTCTTAAGAAAGAGAAACAAATAGGTCACTACATGGAAAATGGATATACCTTTATTTTAGGCTTTTTATGCATTATTTTATTGGTAATATTTTCAGCGTATTCTACTGTTATGATTTTGGTGCCATCCATTGCTTGTTTTACAGTTAATTAATTATGTAATATTAGTAATGGTCAAATACAGAAGTGTGAGTGTGGAGTGAAATTCCTCATGTTTGCCTCACAAATTTCTTTGAGTGGGAACAGAAATATTTTGAGAATACATGTGGCCTCAGTTTGAGAGTTCATGTAAGTCAAAATCTAAAGAAAATGTAAAAATCCCGGTGGAAAAATGTAGGTAAGGGTCCCCTCATGTCTTCCCCTCATGTCTTCTTGCCTCCATCAAGAGCCCTACCACACAACTCCTCTTCAGAAACAGGAATACCTGTAGGATCCATGGAATTCTGAAGAAACTCTGGCTGCATTTATTTAATGTAAAAAAGAATTACCTTTTTTTAATGAGCTCATTAGGTTTTCTTAAACATTCAAAACTGGAGTCATGCAAACCCTTCATATCAAAGCCTGAAACCATACAAAATCTAGAAAAACATTAGATCTTTGGCAATGTTCCATTTGAAAACTGTATAAAACTTGATAGTTTGGACGGAGTTTTAACTTTGAATTTTTGGGGTTTATTTGAACTTGAAAATCAAATTAGTATAGGAGTCTCTGGGTATCCAGCAGAAATTGAAGTCCCACTGTACTCGAAAAGTACAGCTTTATTCTTGCAGTAAATTAATGTAATCCTCCTGAGGTCCTTTCCGATGTTTCCATCTCCCATCTATCCCTTCCATGTCAATTTACTACTCTTTGTGATCCAGATGAAATCAGTTTTTGCTAGATTGTCACCTGGCCTGAATCTGGAAACACCCATTCTGCATTTCTCTCCTTTGTTTTGCCTGTCTCTCTGACCAACACACAAATGAATATTCAGTGAAACTTACTCAGAGATCAAAAGTTATGGAAATTTATACTGTGTATCTTGCCTATTACCACAGCTGAGATATGAATTTCTGGTCCATAGACAGCACATCTACTAAGTGAGCCAAAAGAGATCCTTCCCTCTAGCCAAACACACAGGAACTGTGCTAAACCTCTCTAAGCTGACAATAACTCCATATCTTAAACTTTCTTTAAACCTCAGGAGCTCTCAAGCTCATGGTAAGTTTTGGGGTACCTCTCATCTGATGGAGCCCTAGCACGTGTCGGTTTATAACATAAGAGCAATAACTGGAGTGTTTTTAATTTTTTTTAAACAAATGAAGCTTTAAAAAGTTTGGGTTTAGCTTGTTTCCAAGGTTGTTTGTTGTTTTACTATTTTGAGGGAGGAGGATCAGATCTTATTTGATTCAACTGATTGAATTTGTGAGAACGAACAGTGTACTTTTTCTGAACAGTCCAAGGCACTGGTTCTCAACATGTTTACTATAGTGGGTCACATATCCAGCTCTCTGTGTTATGTGGGCTGCATCCACACATATATACTACCTGTATGGCCTTGAGGATGTTACATGGGCTGCAGCTCTGTGCTGATTGGGTCACTTATTTGTTTTTAAAGTTAAATTTTTGTTTGCAGATGCACCCCCAACATACTGAGTGCTTGTGTAAAATGGGGATGGAGAAAGAATGCACTGAATATCAATACCCACATAAATAGACTCACCTGGAGTCTATAGATATATCTATAAGATCATCTGCACCCTTAAGCAAAGTGTATGGGCCTTATCTAATATGTAAAAGATAAATATATCTTGGCTCAGTCAGAGCAACGGGGACAGCAAATTTCAGAGTCAAGAGTCATGCACTGACAATCTCCAGATACTTGTATGGTAGAACCTCAGAGTTTCAAACACCTCGAGAATGGAGATTGTTCGTAACTCTGAACAAAACTTTACAGGTGTTCTTTCAAAAGTTTACAACTGAACATTGACTTAATACAGCTTTGAAACTTTACCATGCAGAAGAAAACGCTGCTTTTAACCATCTTAATTTAAATGAAACAAGCCCAGGAACAGTTTCCTTACCTTGTCAAATCTTTTTTTAAAACTCTCTCTTTATTGTTTTAGTTTACATTTAACACAGTGCTGTACTGTATTTGGTGCGGGGGTTTTGGGAGCGGGGGGAGGGAGGTGTCTTTTTTTTTTTTTTTTTTTTTTTGGTATCTGCTGCTGCCTGATTATCTACTTCCAGTTCCAACTGAGGTGTGTGGTTGACCAGTCAGTTCATAACTCTGAGGTTCTAATTTATCTAGAAGCTGTTAGTTAGAGGTCCTCACTAGGGCACAGCTGCTGTTATAGAAAATAATAGAGACAGAAAAAAAGCTGTCTCTTGAGTATCCTGAGATCTAGCCACATGGGAATGGTAGGAATCCAAAGATGAGATTTAACAGAAAGACATCACCCCTTGTTTACTTAAGGCCCATTTTTTCACAATATCACAAATCATTTTTATGGAATTAGGTTTTTGGGGATTTTTTCAAGTATATGAATAAATATGTTGACATTGTAACACTTTAATTTTAGTAACTATTTAATTTTATCAAGTAAATTATGCATTTCTTAAAGACTGTCTCTTAATATGCTTGCCATATAAGAAACAGCTCTATCTTGAGCTCTGAATGACTTGTAAAAATATAATGTAAAAACTGGCTATATTGCTGAATAGATCCAGTATGCCCATACTTTGTTGTTAAATTGTGTGTATTTAATATAGAAGAAAAACAAATGTTTGTGTTTGTAGATGTTAGCATTGGTAACTAATGGAACATTTGGTAAAATTTATCATTATTGTACTTACTTGAATGAACCTATTTAAGGAAATAAAAGAAAATTAAATTAGCCTGACTGATTTAAAGATTTAGTTCTGACACACAATCCCTGATTTTTTTCAAACACATTCATAAGCATTTTTCAGTCCCTAAAATCTCACTAATCTACTAAGCATGCTTGCTGCTGACATATTTATGACCTTCCTATACAGCAGAATGTAATCTATTCGAATGTAAGATTAGGATGTATGGTATATTAGTCACAGGAAGTTCTTATCTAGAGTAGTGATCCATTACCTCTAGAATGTATTGCTGGCTAAATTCTGTCAGTACTACTTACAGCTGTAGAAGGAACTGGACTCTGGAGTGCCTACCCTTACAGGTGACCTGGGTTCGTTTAAATTATGAATACTTGTCAACTGTAAGTGATGGATTAGTGCACTTGATGCTGTTTCCAAGAACTGTGTGACCTTTCAATTCAAACACTACTACTCAAAATGGGATTAGAAATTTTAATGGAAAGGCATATATTTTATCAGTCTCTTTTGCAATATTTTGAATATTCATACAAAAGATATGTCGTTTTATTGTCCTCTGAATGTGTCAATTGATAATAAATTTTTAAAAATCACTGTCTTTACTTTGAAATATGCAGCAACATGCTAATAGAACTGACAAGCTGCAAGAGAAGCTATCGGAGAGGCATGTGTTGGTTCTACATAACTTTTTTAAAAAAAAAGGTGTTGCAAAAATAGGTCTAGGTTGTTTTGTTCAGGGCACTGTCCCTGAGAAACTTTCTAATCGAGAAATGTAAAATAACAGTAAATGGAATGATATAGAAAACATATTTGTTTATAGTAAACATAGGCCATATTGACGGTAGTGAAGAAGCGGAGTCTTCTTTAACTATGCCTCACCATTCTGTGTATTATAAAGATGTGTTTTCTCATTTACAGCCACCAATGTCGATTCAATCCATTGTGGTTCAAGTCCAGTGCATTAACAAAAAAGTTGGCACTGTTATCTACCATGAAGTACGGATTGTGGTGAGAGACAGGAATGATAACTCCCCTCGCTTTCAGAAGCAGCGGTACTATGTGGCAGTAAATGAGGTCAGCTTCACTTAATATCTTTTTTTTCCCTTTTCTCCATTTCCTTGGTGTAGATTACAGTTGGAAAATGCTTCTTCCCATCCTCTTTCATGTTTTCATTTAAAAAGCAAACCTTCAATTGTAAAAAACCCTTTTGTTTCTAGATATTTTTTTCTAGAAGATGTGGCATGATTATTATATTGGAGTTTTTAATATGTGAGCTATTCATTTGCAAATATAACAGAAAGTTTGGCACAGCTCTCAGCAGAGTGCTTGTATAGTTTTAGCTTTTAAGCATTAAGGAGCCATTCGCTGAAGAAACCAGATCCTGACATTGGATCACAATGAATAAAAGCATCAGTTAAAGTGCAATAAAAAATAATTGAATATATAATTATATCAACAGAATTGAACAGTGTCACCGGATAATGCTTTCCTATTACTACATAAATGCAGAGGCAAAATTGAGGAACAAATGCCAAGTCAGGAGTCATTTTTTTTAAAGAAAGAAACAATAATCCTTTGACAAAGTTGTATTTCAGTGTAAACATTTAATTTACTTTTATTCTGTCCATTAAGTGGCCTCACAAATGGAATTATTTTGACTTATCTTGTTTGTGTGTCAGGGAATGATTGGAACTGCAAACTAACTGAATAAACAAGAGATCTGAGGTTTGGGGAATTGAGGGATGGATTTTGCTATATTTGTGAAAACTAAGTTATTCTGTTTACTTTCTCTCCTCTGCCTGTTTTACTTTACTTTATTCCTTTTTATTTTTATATATTAACGTTGTATTGGATAACAATGGTAGCCAGCACAGGGAGTAAGAGTCCCTGGCAACTCAGCTTGGTGGGTGTGACAATCAAGGTCCAGACACCCCAAGGGGAGAAAAGAAGGTTTAAACACCAAAAATAAGCAGTTAAACCAACTGATTGCATACTATGTGATTGTGCTATAAAACCATATTGAGTAAGGCCTTTTGTGAAAGCTTGTAATGTTCTGAACTTGATGGTCTTTATGAGATATGTACAGACCATGGTTAAGAATATATGTGTGTATATACATATATAGAATATATGTATTGTATATACATATATATAGAAATTGGCAACTGTAGTGCAACTTTAGCATCACCTCACAACAAGCTGGTAGAGCGATCAGGCAGGGAGGGGCTACCTCCCACACCATTTGTTTACACAAAACTGACTTCAAGTACCCATCCATTGTACAACCCAGGGAAAGACTGGGGTGGGTAGAGGCATTAAAGTCAATGGGAAGACACTGAGACATCTTGACTATCAACCCCAGATAATTTCCCTCATTCTGAATAACCATGAGTTGTCATGCCAGAAGTGGGTGAGTGTGGGGGGGAAAGCTGTTTAATAAAGATACTTGAATCTGAGGTGTTCATCCAGAACTTCTGCCAAGCCCAATAAAAATGTATATGCAGATAACAGGTGTGGTTTTGTGCTGGGGCCTCTCAGCACACAGGAGGCAAGTAAAGGTAGCTTTATACCTCTCCTGTATTCTGGGCTGCTCCAGTGGTCAGAGTGGTTCAGCATTACAGCAATTGTGAGGCCCTGCTATTACAACAAGAGCTATGGAGACAGAGAAGGTGGCATCATAAGGCCAGGCAGAGCAGCCAGCCCATCTCTACTCCTGTCCTGGAGGAATTTCTCTGTAGCCCTTTCCTACTGCTATGGTCCCTGTATGTCACTAATGTACCAGAAAGCGGTTGTGGTTGAAATGAGAATCTAGCCCAAAATATATAAATATATATATATATATATAGGGTATTCTAATAAAAAGGAACTGAATATTTATAAGCCTAAACTCAAGTCTTAAAACCCACCTGCAAAAGAAAGCATGCTGTGGGTGACAGTACAAGGCACAAGTGGTTTCGTAGACTTCTGACCAGAAAGTTCTTTGAGACTATCTTTTTCCTGCAATGGAGTAAAATGTAGGGGTAGAAGTTTACTACTATTTTGATTGCTTACACATGTCCATTCCAGTGTAGGTATGCATGTGCCTCTTCAGTTTCTTCTTGCTGCTTGCAGTCGACAGGGCCCTTTATACCAGTGCTATGAGCATGCGATAACAGAGGGTGCTGGACCCGACTTTACGGATACCACTAAGGGGAAAAAAATCTGGCAGCTGTGCTCAGGGTGCATGCAAACCTACATTGGAATGGACATGTGCAATACATCTTGAAGAACAACAGAAAGGTTAGTAGCAGTTTTTCTGTTTTGTTTGTTTTTGCTTCAAGAAAACAGGAGGATTATGTGTGATCAAATAATAAAAATATATGGAGATATACCTATCTCATAGAACTGGAAGGGACCCTGAAAGGTCATCAAGTCCAGCCCCCTGCCTTCACTAGCAGGACCAAGTGTAGGAGCTGGATTTTATAATGTACTATGAGAATTAATGTATGATTTGATTTCATCCTGTCAGCCACCCTTTTTGAATAGCAGAAAGGAATGACAGACCAGAACAATCCTTATGACTGATTATGGTCACCCTTTTGTTTTAGGATAAGTTATAATGTCTACTATGGTTTCCTATATGTATTACAAATTAGACACGCTAGTTAAATATACATTTCTTTGTTTTAAGGTTTTAGTAAGTAAGAGACAGGATCCTCTATTGTGTCTATGTTAAGTAGATTAGAGGAACATTGAAAGCCTGGGTCTCAATGTAAATTGTCTTGGTTATTGATTGTAAAACTTAGCAAGGTTTAATTTGCAATGCCTTTTTGCTCGATATAAAATACTACTGTTTGTATTCTCAATCTGTTTGTGTGAATGAGGAATGTATGCATCAGGAAAAGATAAGGTGTGAAGACCATTGTTATAGCCAGAGTCAAGGAAGAAGGAGTGAAGAGACTTAAAGGACATCAAAGAATCATCAACACGCATCCATAATGAAGGGCAGATTGACGACCCTGAGGTGAAGGCTGGCACCCCTAAGGACAATTAAATCGGAACAAAGGACAGGATGACCCTCTCGAGGTGTATTGGAATGTTTACACCAATTAAGAAGTAACTGGTCACAAACTAACACAGCAAAATCCATAGGCTTCAACAGAGAAAAAAACCTATAAGAACAGGGTGCTTGGCCATGGGACTTTGGGTTCGTCTTGCCAGACTCCAGGAGCATCGGATCACGACCGAGAGAGCCCCGCTCCCCTCTGCGACCAATCTGGCTGGCCACTAGATTGATCCAGACTCTGGACTGATAACTATAAACATCACTGCAGGACTATGTGTGTGTGTCTAAAAAGCATATGCTAACTGTGGTATTCTCAATAAATGCTGTGTATTTACCTTCCTCTATAAAGATCCCGTGTGCTTTGTATGAGCATAACACACGTACTGATTTTGCCCCAGATCCCTAACTCTCAAGCCTGGGTTTAGCAGGCCAATGCTCAAACCACTGAGCTATCCCTCCCCCCAAATAAGACAAATAAGATAAACATAGTGTGATAGGCAGCACTGGTAGCATTAAGATTACCTAAAACTTCTATTATAAGACTCTGTTTTCAGTTATAACTTTAATCATTTGGGCTGAAATTTCCCATGCCAGCTCTCTGCCTCAGGGTACCTTTTTTGATCATTGTTGTTGAAACATTCTTTCTCCTATGCTCTCAATGCCCCCTTATAATAACCCTTACATCCGCAAGCATGGAGGGAGCAGGAGGAAACACCTTTACATGGATACAAAGGGATGAGTAGGAGAAAAATGAGTATACGGGGAGTGATGGGAGGGGGGCAGTAGGAACTGGAGGACAGATGGATAGAAACTGAGGGGGAAGGGACATGGACAGAAGCTGGTGGGAGGCGGGAAATAGGAGCAACATGGGGATGTGGCAGGATCCAAAGGACGAGTACAGCAATAGAAGCATGTGGAGAACAGTGAAGGGTCTCTGACTACTAGAGAACATTCATGTGCAGAACCTGGAACTGAACCCTGGATTCTTGAGTGTCACCATTCCTCTACTGTAAGCAAATATCTGTGAAACCTACTGGCAAAGTATGTTCCTCCATATAGAAGATAGCAACCTACTACTGCTTGTTACTGTGTTAGCTCAAGTGAATATGTGAATTCTGTGTGCTGTGAATCTAGAGGTTCTAACCTACTAATGACCTTTGTGGAGGGCAATATGGTTTCACATTGTAGAATGGGGTTTGTGGGGTTTCAGTTTCCTTTTTGTAAAACTTAAGAAATTACATTGAAAGCCACCTCACTGTAAAAAGAACATTAGGATTGCAAAGTAAAGCACTCCAAAATTAGGAGCAGTCATACTTAAGTCCTGTACAAACTTAATTCGGTTCCTCTGTTCTTATGTAATGTAAGCATCTTTAATTACATAAATAAAACCAGTGTAGATTGAAAAACTAACTGGTGTAGATGATTTTGGAGAATGCCAAGTTTTACGTCCTAAAAACTAAGTATTTTTGAAATTCTAGTTACACAAAAGGACTTAGACACACTGTGAATAATCTAAACATATTACATATCAATTGCCTTCAACTGTGAAACTGTTAGAGCAATTTCCTTCAATCTTTGCACAAGAAGTGGGAAGGGCGGCGGAATCTCTTGTGGCTGGACTATAACCTTGAACTGGTTCAGAGGGACGCCGGGGGATGGTGTTTTCCCTGGCAAAATTAAAGGGGATCAAAATAGGATTTAGAAGAGGACCCTGGTAGCAAACATAAGAATAAGGATTGTTAGCTTGTGCAAGTAAGGAGCAGACTCTAAAACTTACACTTAAATGCATTATTCTTAGGAATCAAATTTTATATGTGGCTATTCACCTCTGCATCCCCACTGGCAAGTACAGGGGTTTTAGATGCCTGGAGTAGCTTTTTCGCTGAGGCAGCCTCCGAAACCCTAAAAAGTGTGCCAGAAACTTGTGGGAAACAATACATTTCATCTGCACAGTATATTTCATCTTTTAAGTATTTGTACAAAGTGGAAAGTTTGACTAGAATTATCTATCAACACACACCAAATAGCT